GTGCAACATATCAATTAGGTCACTTAACATATCAGTTAGGGAAAAAGGATAAAAAAAACATTTAGTAAGCCACTTTACAGGTTTGTTATAATACACATATAATGAAGCTATTTTCTTAGAGTACAGCATTTCCCATTGATTGACTCATTAGCATCTGTTTATAACCTTGCATGTGTTTTTAAAATCATAAGCTTTTAAGAACTTTGACATAGTTTATCTACCTGTTTACAACATAAGGCCCAGTAGGAGGATTGACAAAGGTCTTGCAGCTGTCATTAAAGCTGTTAACGAAAAGGAAAAAGAAAACCAACATTTAAATTTACTCTGTTTTATCATACAATTAACAATTTTTAAGTCAGACAGAGGCCTCCTTGGGGTCTCTACATAGGAGGAGAACACAAAATTATCAGTTATATTAGACAATCTTAAGCTTTAAAGTGTCCTTAGAAGAAATGACAGTTCACTTATCCGCAGGCTGATGGTCTTTTGAAGCTGGGACCTGTTTGCAGTGGGAACGTTGAATCCAGGAAGGCTTTCAGCTACTTTGACAGTCCATTTTGGCTCAGGAGATTCACGGAGAGGTTGCTTGTCCAGGTGACTAGGCTCTTTAGCTCGCAGTGGGCAGCAGCAAAATAACCAGTGGATGGAAGTCACAGCTAGCTGAAAAGTCTGGGGGAGACATAATAAGATCTTGATTAGTTAAATCAGCAAATTTCTAGAAACCTTTTCACATAAAACCTCAAAAGAGGAAATATCTGCAACACACACACAAAGGGGCAGAAGGAAAAGAGACTCACCCAGTATTCGTCAGTTTTTAAGGCCATTAGTAATTATGGTCTTTAAAATCTGACTTATCTTTTTACCTTTCCTGAACTCAGAGGCTGGTAAGCCCAATCGAGTTTTTTAATTGATCTGCAAAGCTTAGGTTAATTTGAGTTACTAGGCTATAAAAGCCAGGCCATTGTCGGACCCCATGGATAAAAAGGGAGACCAAATCAGGGAAACTGTTATCAGAGCTGACTCAGACTAAGTAGAAAATGCTTTTACTCATCTAGTGAAAGTATCAACCATTATAACATTTATATCCTTGAAGTTTAGGCTTTTTATTTTTGTAAAATCTATTTTCCAGTGTTTTTAGGCATAGTCCCACAATAACCAGTGGTTTCTATTTGTTGCAGTACTTTTGGATTTACCAATTGGCACTGAGGGCATCTGAAGCTCACAGACTGGGCTAGCTTGATATTAGCCCCCGGGAATCTCTCGGAAGTTGAGCTGCCAGATGCTGGTCTTTTTAAGTGCAAATGGGCTCTGACAAAGAAAATAGGTGGGATCAGCAGTAATGTCAAGCTTATCTCAATTCCCACTGATTTGGGGGCTTTCTGGCTGTCTTTTGGAAGGTGGCATTTGCCAAATTGTTTTCTCCTATAACAAGATCATCTTCTGCCCAATGGCTTATACAGCAGATAGTAGCCACTCTCCTTGGCATCTAGATGGCAGCCAACAAGTCCAAATTTAGGGAGCAACTTTAATCTTTTGACTCCAGAAGACAATAAACACCATTTTTGATAAAGACAACTTGAGGACTCTGTGTACGCAATGAGTTTAGCCCACTATGCTGATGTCTCTGGCTCTAAGATTTGTTCCCATAGAACCTAAGATTTTGTGTAACGGCAGCTCCCACGACCCGCTTACCTTGATAGACGTAACTGCTTTCATCAGAGAAGTAGGATGAAACTCTAGACAGTAGCTTATCCACTAGATAAGGTTGACGTCCTGTGAGGTGATCAATGACCTCAGTGCAATTGTGGAGAGGCATGGAGGGGTCGTCCTCAGGCAGCAAAGTAGCCGTGTTTGAATATGCTGTTTTCAGATATAGTGCCTGATAATGTATGGCTCAGGAATTAGACATCCATCAGTCTGGTGGGGCATTGATGAGAGTCTCCAGTGAATAGGAGGAAACAATTAAGAGTTTGTGTCCAAAAGTCAATTTTAAGCCTCCTTTATGAGGGGGCCATTGAGGAAATCACTGCATACAGCGTGGCCATCTGGCTGCCACAGAACCAAGTCTCTTGGAAAGGTAGGCAACAGGCCTCTGCCAGGGTCCCAAACTCTGGATCAGTCCTGTGGCTCCTAGAAATTTTGTACTTGTCTTTTAGTCACAGGGACTGGAATCTGTTAGATGGCTCACAACAACCAGTGTAGTCTTTTTTTATGTAGACTGGTTCTGATAAGTTTGGGGGAACTCGCATCAGAGCAGTTACTTTCTCGGCTGGCCTCTCTGATGTGATTGCTACTCTTTGAGCAGCCTGATCTGCCAAATTGTTTCCTCAGGTGAATAGAAGCAATCTGCTGACAGCCAAACTGCTTCCAGCAAATCTAGGATCTGTGGAGCCCTCTTTTTTTTTTTTTTTTTTTTTTTTTTTTTTTTTTTTAATCTTAGCTCTGGCCGAGGTTAAGAGACCTCGCTCTTAATAGATGGCTCTATGTATATGTATAGTAGCAAAAGCATATCTACTATCAGTATAGATGTTTACCCTCTTTCCTGTGGCTAGTTTTAGTACCTCAGTCAAAGCATTGAGCTCCGCCTGATGGTCAGAGATGCCAGGCTCTAACCGCTTAACCCAGAGTACCTCCTTTTGGTGGTCACTGCTGCCCCGGCCACTCATCTGCCTCTGCCATTCTGGATGAAGCTGCTTCCATCTGTGAAATTTCTCAGGTCGTTGTCAGGCATAAGGGTGGCCGGGTTTAAAGCTGAAGAAGTCTTGAAAACTACCAATTCTGGGTCTAGGAGCAGGGCCTAATAGTGTGAGATTTTAGCATTTACATTTTTGGGAGGGGTTTTGATAACAGTCTCTAAACTGTGAGAGGTCACTACAGAAATTTTCTGTTTCTTAGCCTCTTTTAAGTAGCATTGTCACAGCAGCCAGAATTTTTAGGCATGGAGGCCACCCTCTTGTTACTGGATTGAGCCTTTTGGAAAGATAGGATATAGGCCTCTTTCAAGAGCCAATGTCCTGGGTTAGGACTCCTTTGGCAATGCCCCTGAGTTTATCTATGAACAAAGTGAATGGCTTGGTAACATCAGGGAGTCCCAGGGCTGGGGCCTCTGTTAAGGCCCACTTGAGCTGCTGCAAGATCCATTTACATTTATAAGTCCAGTTTAGTGAGTTTTTCCCTTAAGGGAGCCATATAGAGGGTGAGCTGTTTCAGTAAAATTTAGAATCCACAGCCTGGAGTATTCGACAGCTTCCAGAAATTCGCGCACCTGTTTCTTAGTTTCTGGGAATGGGATCTGCAATATAGCCTGGGCTCCTTTTTAGACAAAGTCCTCCCCCCCCCCCCCGTTTTTTTTTTTGCACTTTGTAGCCCAGATAAGCCACAGCCTGACAGCACGATCAGGCCTTTTTAGCTGAGACTTTATAGCCTAATTGCCCCAAAGTCCTTAACAGTTTCTCAGTTGCCTCTCAATAAGCTTACAAGCTTTTGGGGGGGGGGGATCGAGGCTATTAACAAGTCATTCACGAACTGGAGGAGCACTATCTCAGGGTGTTTTTTCTTCCTAAATTTTAAAAGATCTCTTGTGTTATCTCTATCAACTGGCTGAGGGGCATTTTCTCAAAAATTCTCAAACCTTTGTAATCTTTTTTCTAACATGTGGGGCTGACTGAGTTGCAAAGAGAACAACTGGTGATGCTGGGGAAACCCCCTTACCGCTGGATGTCCAATCGGGGTGGGACAAAGGGAAAACATGGTTTTGGCATTCCGGATCAGAGAGCAGGCTTTTTCTGGATGGCACATCACCTTTTGTCCTAGGGTGCCACGTGGCAGGCCATCATTTTACTGAAATTACATACTTAAGAAAAAGAAGCTTTTTCATAGGTAACAAAATGTGCCATATAATCTCCCAGATGTTCACAGCACATGTGAGAACTTATATCTTAACTCTATTATCATCTTTAATCTCATATTAATGGAAACACTTTGCAGCAAAGGTTGAGAACCTTATAAATAAATCTACCAAAACTGATCTAATACTGTCAAATTTTGAACACATTTACTTCTTGTCAAACCTGCTGTTTTCATTACTATAACCAAGACAAATAAAATTTACATCATCTCGAGCTTTCGGTAACTTACAATATACCTCCAAGTTTTATCTTATTTCATATTCTGGCACATCCAGACATTTTTACTTGAAGACAAACCACTTTCTTTGTCCCTCCTTTTTACTATCACCAGTCAATTACCTTTTCTCTCACTTCTCAGACAACATTAAAACTCACAACAAAACCCTTGAAGTCACCTTCTAGTAGTCTAAATCATATTTAACTATTTTATGCATTTTTACCACATTAAATGCTGGGGTTTTTTTTGTTTGTTTTTGTTATTGTTTTTAAAAACTATAAACTTTTAACTGGCTCAATTACAGTATGACCTGGTTTTCACTTGGTAAAGCTGATATGATTTTTAAAAACCATAAATATACACATATATGTGCACATACGTCTACTTTTTAACCAGAAAGAAAAATACTCCTTTTAAAAGGCATGCCAAGGTTGCAAGCAATCAGTTGAAGACTTACATATTAAACAAGGCGCCACAACATTAAAGACACAAACAAAGGTTGTTTCTTGAACAGTTTGGTGAGCTAAAGGAAATAATTTTTCTTATCATGAACCTTGAATCTAGTAAGCCATATGGATCCTGCAACAGAAATGGGCAACAAGCCCCTAAGTTAGTAACAAATTTAAACAGGCAACCAAGGAGGAGAATGGCCAATACCGTAGGGAGGGCATTTTTCCCTCAGCTGTACCATCATTAATCATGTCCTTTTTAACCTGGAGAGAAAGATTGTGAGCTTGCTCTCAAATCTCAGGCCAATGGTCCAAGGTAAGGGAGAGAGGAGATGAAGTTGTCTGTCCCATCTTATCCTGGAGAAAAAGAGAATAATAACAATGAACAGGGAAGACACAGGCAAACACAAAATGTTTACATTTCAGAACACAACTCACAAGCCGGAATCACGCACACACATACCAAAACCACCAGGTGGAAACGAACCGGCAGAGTATTCCACAGCGAACATAGCCATGTAATGGCTACAACTAACGGCAGGAGCAACCTGCCCAACTCAGCAGGAGCGACCTGCCTACGTGAACATAGCCGTGTAATGGCTACAACTAACGGCAGGAGCGACCTGCCCAACTCAGCAGGAGAGACCTGCCTATGCGAACCGGTGAGCCACCAATGAACGTTCCTCAGGGGAACCTTGGGGCGTCCCCCAAGAGAAACAAACTGCCTTTGAAATCAGAACCAAAGAAAACAAATTGTTCAGGGCAGTAAAGAAAGGGGAGAAAATAAGCGATCGATCAAAATGAAAGTAAACAAAAACCGGCAGTACTACTTATCGCAGGGAGGTGCCGTTGGGGTCTCCCTCTGCGAGGAGGGCTGATCTCCCTGGGGCCTCCAAAATGTAAGACCGGTGTCACAAGGAAGAGTACATGGGCCTCACTCTCATGTAAGAACAAAGGGGTTTTTATTATTCCGTGTACACAGGTCCTCCAAACAGGTGGAAACAGAGAACCCTGAGTTGGGGCAAGGCTGATGTTTTTAAGGGGGAAAAACTGCAATGTAAGTGTTTATTACAGAAGCCAATCATTACAGTTAGTGCGGAGCGGTGGGCATCTTATCTATCTGCTATTGGTCAGTTAATAAGGGGTGACCAGCGGGTCAGAGATAATTAACTATCTTTGTTCTGCACAACTTGTCTTTAAGACACCTGATTTCTGTAGGCTCGAGTCTGACATATTTTACAACCCTGATTAGTGTAATGGCAGGCTCTATCTCTGAGTTCCCTGGCACAGCACATCCCGAGAACATCACAGCCACAGATTTTTTTTTTCTTCCTTCAGGGCTGAGTTAGGACTGAGTCACGAGGCCCAGTGCTGTTTCTAGCTGAGAAACAGCATCTTGTTTTTAACCTTTAAATTTCTGGTTCTTCAGTTGCTGTACGAGCACAGGTTTTTATGGCTCAGGACTCCAAGGTGTCTAAGGCCCAACAAGCCCATCAGCTACACCACCTCAGTGCTCACACCCTCCTCCTCCTCTACAAAATTACCCATGAGCAAGCCAGACAAATTGTAAAAAATTGCCCATCTTGTGCTATCCACTTACCTGTTCAACACCTAGGAATCAACCCTAGAGGTTTAATTCCTAACACCTTATGGCAAATGGATGTTACCCATTTCAATGAGTTTGGCAATGTAAAATATGTACATGTCATTATTGACACATATAGTAAGAGCCTTAATATCCTCCACACCACAGGTATACCTTATAATGCTCAGGGACAAGGCATTGTTGAAAGTGCACATCATTCTCTTAAATTCACCATAAATAAAATATAAAGGGAGACATGGTACTCCTCCCAGGGGTCCCCTAGAAATGTCCTTTCACATGCTCTTTTTATTTTAAAGTTTCTGACCCTGGATGCTTTAGGCTGCTCTGAAGCATCTTGGTTTTGGCATACTCAGACTCAAACACGGTTTGCATCTGTTTTATGGAGAGACCCACTAACCAATGTGTGGAATGGCCCTGACCCAGTCCTTATCTGGGGACGAGGTTCAGTGTGTGTTTACTCTCAACAAGATAGAGAAGCTAGATGGCTACCTGAATGCCTCGTAAAAGCAAGTAGACAGTTCTTCAAAGACCCCATGTAACACCCAGGAATAATGTTATTTCATGAGGCACAATCCCCTGTGTTCTCTTACAGGAGACACATCTCCCTGGAGCCTTATGCTGCTTAGTCAGCCTTCTTGAGCCACACCACACCCATGGTGAATTTCAACCCCTGCCAAACAGACTACAACTGCTGACAGCCATGCACAGAACCCCATGACTGTGGAAGAGGCTCTTCTCAGTCTGGAGGAACATACACCACCCAAATAGACTGCATCCAGTGTTATGCAAGGCATGCTCCAAGACATAGGAGAGAATGACTTCATACAGAGACTCCAACAAATGGCTGTCAACCCCTTCTCCTTGATTTGGGGGGGGGTTTCCCTTACCTAGTGCCCCTTTTGGGTCCCCTAGCTGCCCTATTGCTTCTCATTTCTGTGAATCCTTGTATTTTTCAGACGATTCTGATGTTCATTAATAACTGGATAGACACATTTATGGCAAAGCCCATTCAGGTACACTATCATCAGCTGGAGATTGCAGATCAACAAACCTACCAGGAAGGAATTCCCACAGTGGCCCATATGATGATGCGGCCTAACTGCCCTGGGGCAATGGACAGGCAGTCAGAGAAGGGCAACTAGGACATGCATGTTAATTCCAATGGCCACCTAAGACAGGCACAGGACCAACTGCTGTTCTGCAAGCCCATGACAGGTAAGGCCTGGGTGGTTCATGCAATGAGGTCCTTGACCTAAGACAGATGCTGTCCTCACAGGGCCTGCCATACTCTTAATTAAATAATATAAAAAGGGAGGAGATGTAGGGAGCCGAGTGACAGGCATTGCTGCCTCCATGCCTCTCTCTATGGGCACTGCGTCTGCATACATTAACCATAATCCTCTCCTGTTTACGTCACATAACCGGATGTGACGGTGACCCTGTTTTATTCATCTGTTTAACCTCTTCCTGTTCCAGCTCCCGCCCTTAGCATAGAAAAGGTGTGATCATTTTCTGAATAAACTTAAGGCTTGATTGGATTATCTCAACTTGCCTTCATCTCTTTTGTCTCCCCCATGTCTTTTATTTAATCCCCGTTTCCCCTTCCAGGAGTTCTGGATATGTTGATCTGCAGGCCGGATCAAATGAGGAAGCTTTGGTGTGATGTTCTGAGACTGGCCCTGCACAGTATTCTAAATCACTGGTGGAATCAACAGAGGGCCCCTCTTGGCCTCATTGGGCCCAATCCAGTAACCGCTCTTGATCTATGGCCAACTGCATTCAGCCTTGTGAGTCTAAAAGTCATGCAGTGATTTCTACTCCAGGAGAAAGCTTTGGCATCTAGCTGAGGAACTGGTAGGGCTCTGCTCAGTGTCCTACATTACTAGAGGACACACTGAAAGGTCTCTGTGGGCATACTTGAGCCCCATCCTGTGACTCTTCAGTGGTCAACAGCAGCCTGCATTTTCCTTCATGACCAAAAGGGTGCACGGTGATTTCCATCCCACAGGAAAGCTGTAGTATATCACTCCAAGACTGGTAAGGCCCTGTCCAGTGTCACACATCACTGGAGGACACATCAGAATGTTCCTCTGGGCTTTTTTTGGGCCATAACCAGCAATACCCAAGTGGACTACAGCTTAGTAAATTGGCTTGTGAACTGAAAAGGTATGCAGTGATTTCCACCCCACCAGGAGGCCTTGATGCACTGCTCTGAGACTGGGAGGACTCGAGACAGTGACCACAAGTGACAGGAAGCCACATGGCAAAGTCTGTCTAAGGATCTCCACTCAACTGGGGAAACTCCTTTTAATAGAGATAGGTATTCCCAACCCAAGAAATGACTGAGACCTTGCCTTTACTTTCACTAAGGGAATATAGTTAATGACAAAAAAAAAAAAATAGCACCAAATCTAGTCTCAAACTACTAGCCCACACAAAGCAGGCCTATAAGATATGGATATAGGAGAAAATGTAAGACATACACAAGAAACTCCTGAAATGATAGCAACTGAAGTAAAGAAACAACCTGGGGAGCTATGAAAAAACTCAAGTCAGAAATTACCTTCTGAGCAAAAGAACAAAAATGATAAATGTAATGAAAGAGATACTGAATACATCTAAAGAAGAAATAGGTAAAAATTTTGAGAAACAATGCCAAAAGATGGAAAGCTTGAATGAACAATATAAGAAACAAAGCAAATGAATGAAATAGATTCAAAATAATATTCAAGAAATCAAAAATTCCATCAAAAGTTGACAAAACTCCCTCAGTCAAAGTGAAGATAGGCTTTTTTGGCCTAAAGATAAGATTATAGCTAGTACAAAGATACAAAGAAAAATAATGTAAGATTGATAGTTATAAACAAAAAACATGACAAAACAATTGGTGTCAAGAACTAACTACAGAAGTAATGTCTTAACATTTCCCAAACCTGAGAATAAACATGAGATACAGATAAGTTAAACGTGTAGAGTAACAAATAGCCATAACCAAAATAAAACTACAGCAACATATAATAATAGCCAACATCCCAGTAAGGCAACATAAGAAGAGAATATTAAAAGCTGTTAGGGAAAAGAAATAAATCACCTATAAGAGAAAGCCTGTCAGAAGACAGGAGATTTTCAATACAAAGAATGAAGTCAGAAAGAGCACAGAGAGAAGCATTTCAGGTCCTAACAGAAAATTACTTACAACCCACACTAATGTACCTTGCAAAACTGCCCTTCAAAATTTCTGAGAAATAAGACACTTCCATGACAAAGAAGAGCTGAAAATCTTCATGATCCCCAAACCAACCACGCAAAGAATACTGAAAGATAGTCTAGATACACATAGGAAAAAAAAAAAAAAAACAATAAGCAATGCCGACAATTAAACAGAATTGAAAAATAAAGATGTAACAGCAGAAAGATAACATATCAACAATAAACCAATAAATAACACTTATATCTTAAATGTAAATGACCTCAGTTCACCAATTAAAAGAAACAGACTTGCAGAATGGATCAAGAAACAACATCCACACATATGCTGTATATAAGAAACCAGTATAATACGAAAGGAAAGTCATAGAATGAAAGTCTAAGGATAGAAACAATACTTCATGCAACAGGAATCCCCCATACACCATAAAAACAGGGGGTAGCTATTCTGTCTTCAGACAATGTGAACTTCAAACCAAGAATGACACAAAGAGATAAAAAAGGTCACTACATACTAGTTAGGGGAAAACCTAAAGAGAAAAAGAAAATCTTAAATATCTCGGGACATTTAAGATTAAGGAGCACTAAGCTATACAAAACAAATGTTTCCAGAAATGAAAAGTCAAATTAGCAACAACACAATTATAACAAAGGCCTTAACACCTGACTGACAGAAACAGACTGCTCAACTAAATAGATAATCAGCAAAAAAATAACAGAAGTAAACTACATTTTGATTAAATGAGGTTGGTGTGTGAACACAGTGTTTTACCCAACAACATCAGAACATACATTCTTCTCAGAAGCACATGGGATTTTCTCTAAAATAGACCATATACTAGTCCACAGACTATGCTTAAGTAAATGCAAAAAAATTGAAATTATCCAATGCATGTTATCAGATCATAGCACCATGAATTAGAAATGAATGACATAAGAACCTGCATAAAACAAACAAACATGTAGAAATTTAATAATGCACACCTGAGCAATCGGTGTGTCACAGAGGAAATTAAAGAAGAAATTAAACAATATCTACAAGCAAATGAAAACACCTGAGGCAATGGGATGTAATAAAAGCTGTCTTTAGAGGAAAATTTATTGTGTTGAATTCCCACATCAGGAAATACAATGAACACAAATGAAAAACTTGATGCTACACATTAAACATGTGGAAAAAGAAGAGCAGGTTAAGAACAAAGCCAAAGCAAGGGAGGTAACGATAAAGATCAGAGCAGAAGTAAATGAAATAGAGACTAAAAAAATAATACAAAGAATAAATGAATCAAAGGTTTTGTTCTTTGAAGGAAAAAATAAAATTACTGGAAGTTTAGCACAGTGGTGTAAGCGTCTGCCTGACAAGCACACAGTCATGATTTTGATTCCCCAAGTACCAAAAAAAAAAGGAAAAATATAAAAAAGAATAAGTACATTTGATAAGCCCCCCTACACAACCTTGTATAAAAAATGAAAGAAACCTCAAATTTGTACAACAAGGAATGAAAAGATTGAAATCTGTATCGACCTTCTGGAAAAACAGAAGATCATCAAAGCTTATTTCAAAAGCTCTACTATCATAGATTTGATAACACAGAAGAAATGGATAGATTCCTAAAAATACATGAATTACTAATGCTGAGCCAAGAAAATGTAAAAGAGCTGAATAATTCAATTCATTAATAAAATAGAAAATATAATTTAAAAAGATGTTAAACAGCTGAATAACTCAATTTTAATTTGTAATATATAAAATATAACTAAAAACTTACCAAAAAAGAAAAGCCCAGGTCTAGATGTATTCACGGTGGAATTCTACAAGAAATTCAAAGACGTTTTAATGCTGACAATCCTCTAACTCTTCAATGAAATTGAAAGCGAAGCAATTCTCCCTAACTCATTACAGGAAGCAAGTATTACTTTAATACCAAAGACAGAGAAAGACCCAATGGAAAAAAAAAGAGAAATACAGGTCAATCTCCCTAAAGAACATAGATGCAAAAATTTTCAATAAAATATTGGCAAACAGAATGCAGCAAATCATCAAGAATATTATACACCACAATCAAGTGGGATTCATCCCAGGAATGCAGGGATGGTTCAAATACACAAATCAATGAATGTAACCCACTTTATCAATAGAGCAAAAATAAGAATCACCTGATAATTTCTATACAAGCAGAAAAAGCTTTGATGAGGTCCAACACTTATTCATGCTAAGAAACTTACATAATATTGGAATTCACAGTCTTTCACTTGATATGATAGAAGCCATCTATGACAAACTAATATCCATTATCACATTAAAAGGAAAAAAACTGAAAACCTTTAGTCTACAACCAGGAACAAATAAATTTTTTATCACCACTCCTATTCAATATAGTGCTGGAAATACTAGCCAGAGCAATTAGAAAAAAGAGTGAAATAAAAGAGAATGAATAGGAAAATAAGTTAAATTATTAATATTTCAGCATGACATGATACAACACATAGCAGTTCCCAAAAACTCCACTGAAAGACTCCTAGGAATAATAACAAAATTCACTTATGTAGCTGGACACAATGCCAACACACAAAAATCAATAGCATAGTTATACATAAACAACAGAGTCCCTGAGAGAGAAATAAGAGAAATCATATCCTTTAAAATAACTTCTAAAAAACAAAATACATAGAAATTAATCTAAGAAATGAAGTAGAATTTCTTTTCAGGGAAAATTATAATATTTTGAAAAAGGAATTCCAGAGGATCTCAGAAAATGGAAAGACATACCTTGTTCATGGAAGGTATGCTAGTGGCATTTTGATTGGAATTGCATTAAACCTGTGAAAAAAAATTTAGCAGAATGGCCATTTTCACAATATTTGTTGTTCTTGTTTTGTTCTATTTGTTTCCACGAACAAAGAACAACTATTGTGAAAATGGCCATTCTCCTAAAATTGTTCCACAGATGTAATGAAATCCCAATCAAAATGCCACTAGCATACCTCATAAATATAGAGAAATTATTCCTAAAATTCATCTGGAACCAGAAAAGACCTAGAATAGCAAAGGTAATTCTGAGGAACAAATTCAAGGCAGGAAGCATTACTACCCTGGGCTTGAAGTTATACTACAAAGTACTGCAATAAAATTGACATGGAACTTAAATTAAAATATACCTAAAATAAATGGAATAGATTAGAAGATACAACTACATCTGCAAACACATTCAGTCATATCATCTATGATAAAGAGGACAAACATGTTCACTGGAAGAAAGAAAGTCTCTGTAATAAAAGAAGCTATAAAAACAGGCTATTCATATGCTGAAAAGTAAAACTAAACCCATGCCTGTTAACATGTTCTAAACAAAAATATAAATGGATCAAAGATACAAATATTAAAACCAAAATACTAAATCTTCTAGAATATAAATTAGGTAGAAATCTTGAAAACATAGGGTAAGTAGGGAATTCATATACAAAATTCTGACTGAATGGGAAACAATACCCAGAATCAATACCTAGGATCATATCTTATTATACAGTTTTGGCATATCTAAATAAATGCCCAAAATAGTGAAAAGAAAACAAACAAATTGGAAAAAAAATATTAGTCAAGTGTCCTTTAGATAAAGGACTTTGGTCCCAGACATATAAAGAGTTTAAAAAACCTGTCCCCTGAAATTCAAAGATTCAATCCAAAAATGGCCATCTGAGATGAATACACAGTTCTCAGATGAAGAAATACAAATGTCAAACAAATACATGAAAAATGTTCAGCTCATTGGTCCTTAGAGAAATGAAATAAAACCACACTGAGATTCCATCTCACTCCAGAAAGAATCGCCAGGATCAAGAAATCTACAAACAACAAATGCTGGAGAGACTGCAAGGAAAGAGCAACTCTCCTGTACTGTCGTTGAGAGTACAGACTGGGACAACCACTATGGAAGTCAGTCTGGAGGTTTCTAAAAGCTGTGACTAGAAGTCTCATTTGACCCAGATATTCCACTTCTGGGCATATTCCCAGAATATCTGAAAACTTTGTGCCACAGTGATATATGTGCACCCTTGTTTATAGGAACACAATTTGTAATAGCCAGATCTTGCAAACAATCTAAATGTCCATCAACTGAGGAATGAATAAAAAGGATGTGGTATTTTTATGTAATGGAGTACTACTTAGCTATAAAGAATGATCACACTGAGATACTTATAAATAAATGGATGCAGCTTGAGGCCATACTCATATGTGAAATAAATCAAACTCATTTGTGTAGATACTGTGTTGTTTCACTCATGTAGGAAATGATAACAGTACATAAAATACAAAATCCTCAATTAAATACAGTGAAATGGTAAGAATCTTCTCAAAGTGGGAAAAATAACATCTCTGAGAGAATGAGGAAAAAGAAAAAGGAAAGGAAAAAGCCTCTAAATTTGTATAAAGACACTTAGGATAGTTAAGATGATTGTGCTACAGTCTCTATAAGTGCATGAAACAAAACAGCTGACATTCATTGTATTGGAACGATTGTGCGTGTTTGTGTCTGGTGATATGAGGAACTCTGAAGATCACTGTGCTTAATCACAACCTCAGTTACCTGTCTACCACTTTGTTTGAAAGTCAATGTTTTGGCCTCTGCTATTGCTATTTTTCATTTTTCCTGTTTTTGTAGCAATCTGTTTTGTTTTATTTTTTCCTCTATTACAGAAATGACAGGTATACACATAGAGCCTTATACATGTGAAATTTTCCTAAATACTCTATGAGATTCGATTATATTATGTATGAAGAAATGAATATCTACTTTTAAGAAAAAGACACATTATGGTATCTATTGCTGATTCCGTATCCTCATGCAGTGTAATCCACTAGTGCTTTTAGTTTTGGTTCAGAATAGTTTTAATCTCTTTTGAATTGTTTAGTTTCTGCATACATGAAGGTATGGACAGACATTTTTTAAAGATTGAGAGAGTTTATGGCAGCCATTATTGATTGTGTATTGTCTACTTTTGAAGGCTTTGAAGGTAATTCACTGTCATTACACTGTTTTGATCAGTTTTATGCTATTTGATCCTATATGAATTCATTGTGTGTGAACATATAGATAACTATTTAGAAGAAATCGAGACATTATGGTAGCCATTGTAGATTTCCTGTTTTATTGTTTAGAAATCTGTGTCACATACACTGTTTCTTCTGTTGTTCTTTGTTCTGTTTCATTAGGTTTAGTTTTACAGTCTTTAAAAAAATGAATAATTATCATTTCACTTATTTACATAGCTACCTTAAAATTTTGGTTGAAAATCATTTGAAATTTATTAATATAGATAGGTGTTTTCCTTATGTCAAAATGATAATTATATTTATGTGGCAAACAGCTGTTTAGAAACATCTTTGTACCAAGAAGTTCTGGTCCTCCATTTCTTCCCTTTCTGTGGGTTGCACTGAGCAGTTCACACATGATTACTGTAGTTATGAAAAGACAAGATATGGAGAATTCATGGCTCTCTAAACATAGGCTTTACAAATGGCTGCACACAATACTTTGACTCAAAGTTTCATTTTCTGGTATTTTTCTACGTGTTTTGAGAAAGGAAACATACCAATGTAATACAAATTTCTGGTTCTATGTCCTCAATATTTTGTATACTGAGGTGGTAGATATATTGAATTAGAAAAATAAGGTTAAAAAGTAATGATCTGGTAGGAGGAGGCGGGAATATTATACTAATATTGTACTTTACTGTTAATGAACTATACTCTTAGAACCTCAGCCAAAACTCCTTTCTTGTTTTGTCTAGTTATTCAACTATATATCATTATTTGGTAAACCGAAAATAATAGCTAGAGAAAATTCCAGTCGAAGATAGAAGATACTTTATTCAAATGAAATCTATCATTGGGATACAAGGTTTAAGGAAGCTAGTTACAACAAAGAAAATTTGTTAAAGAACTGATATTTTGTAGTATATATTTGATATTCCTCAAGAGATATGCTCTGATAAAAATCCCATGAAATTAAATACTTGCATTACCAATGTGCTGTGAAAATGGCTAAATTCATCATGTCTTCTATTTTTCCTAAGTCATTGTTTTGTCCCTACAGCTGATCCTGCCCTTCTTCTTATATCTTTCCTCATGTAAATGTTATTCTCCCAGAATTCACAATGTACTATCTTCACTAACCCCAGATGTCAGGCCATTTTGTGAAATTTTCTATTTCCTTCCAACTTAAATTTTCCATTTTCCTACAGTGTCCTGGTTCACTTTGGCTTCCATACTTCACCAAATTCTGATTTTTGCTACAAGACAGTAGTATTCATATTTATTATTAAGTTGAGCTCTGGCTATATTGAACTTTTTGTCCTCTATTTTAGCTATATATATCTTCAATACATCTTGTTATCATTAACAAGATGATGCCCCTGCTTTTACTACCTGCCTCTGATTTATTTACATAAAAATAATATTCAGTGGTTTACATTTTATTGAATCTGAAAATATACCTGAGGATACAATAGTTATAAGGCTTCCTATTTGTCTCAAATCAATATATTGTGGGTTCAGTCATTCTCATTCTTTTAAGGTTCATCATGACATACATGTGAAAATTAAATTACAACTGTTAATTGAACACTGAAATTTGAATTGTAGATTCTTTGAACAAGATTGCATTGTATGTTTAAATCTCCAAGGCAAAGATATTACACAACATGGTGGATCATTTCTTAATGAGTCTATCCATGGCAGTGGAATTAGATGAAGCTTTCTCATGTGTAAAGCCATGTATCTGAACAGCTCTACTCTCTCTTTTTTTTCTTTCCTGTCTTGACAAACTTTTGAAAACAAAACAAACAACACTTTATGGGAACAAAAGTAATGATTGCAGCACAAGCCAGGAGGAAGCCAATCACATCCAGAGAGTGGTACTGGTACCAGGTGAGGTTCTGGGCAAGAGGCCTCAGATGCTTGGCCCCCTTGTGGCGCATGACAAACTCGATCCAGAAGACTGCTCTGTCCAGGGGCCTCATTGGTTGATCACGCTGAATACTTGATAACCTCATAGCATTGTGTTTATAGCTGAAGAAAATTAAACAAGTTCAGAAAAATTCACAAATAATAGAATGAATATTTTTGGAGTTTCTGATATTGTTCTAAAGGTCAAAATCAGGAGTATAATTTAAAGACCAAGTACAAATCCTTGCCATGGTTCATCCAACACTTGTAAGTAACCTTAGTAATCATTACATGAGTAATTAAAAACCAGTATTGAAATTTATCCACAGGTTAGTCATTAAAACTACAAAACAGAATGCCTTTCTGGAATGCTGCACAGCTTTATGTATCGTTTTATGACATATATCTCTTATGAATTCCCAGCTAAATGGCAGGTATAAATTCTTTTAAAATTTTTATTTCTTCACATTTCATTGTCATTCCTCTGTGATCACATTCAGTGATTCTTCTTATTCATTTTACAGGCTATTTCTAAAGTTTACACCTTGGCTAAAGTTTGCCTAAAGCTTTTATCCAATAAAAGTGCTGAAAATATTATTTCTTGCACTGCCACTTGGTTACTAATGATGGATTCAGCATTAAGAAAGTTTGTATTCCATTATCCTTAATTCACACTTATTGCTACTTTCTTGGAAGTTATGTAAGAAGTTATCGAATAGAATGATAAGGAATTTTTCAAAAGTTTGTACTCACGAAGGGTTGTTAATGACTTTCTTCAGTGCATTTAACAAATCTGTTGTTGAAATTGTGTGGAAATCCAGTTTAATAGCTGCTCCTTTAGCCTCCATGTAAACAATGTTATCATGTTGCTCCGCAAACAGAGGAATGCCCACCATAGGGATTCCATGGTAGATTGCCTCATAAACACCATTGGCTCCACCATGAGTTATAAAAGCTCTAGTTTTTGAATGACCTAAGGTGGGGTGAATGTCAGTAACATAATTAATCATAAAGGTTAGAAATACAATGTGAAATACACATTATGAGTCACTAAAAGGGTTCCATTTTATATATAAATAATGTACATCTATGAAAGAGCAATGATGTCCCTTTTATGTCTCAGAATAAAAATCAGCAAATCCACTGGAAAGGTAAGTGAATGTTACATGGAAGATACAGTAGATGTCTTTACCAATGAATAAATGATCATCATGAAGAGTCGTGTGTGCATTACAACATATTCAACTGTAGTTCAGTCACAGATCTGACATAGAGTTACTGCATGTCAGCAGCATACAGCAGTGGGAATAAAGAGTGTGATATTAAATCATGATTACAAAATGAAATTTTTGCCTTAAAGTGTCACATCAATAAATAGAAATACAACTTTAATGTAAATAAATCAAGATTTTTTTGATTTGTTTTTATAAACACGTGTTTCTATAGAAAGAAAGGAGTTGGTATTTCTTAATCAATGATTGAACTAAAAGAATAGAAAAATAATTTATTAAAACATCCCTGTTCTAGAGACAAGTATATTTGAAATGAGGATCTTAAAATTGTTGCTAAACAATTGTTCCAAAAATCCAATTGTTACAAATTATTTTACTTCCTCTTCCATTGCAAAGGTGCAGTATAAAGTTTGGTTTAGTTTTGACTTTGTAATTAAAAGTGTTCCCTGGTTTGTTTCTTTTTTAGCAATCATTTGGCTTATAGCCTTATGCTTTCAGTACTTGTTCTCCAGCATCTTACCAAGTAGGTCATTCTGGGGGATCCACTTCAATAACTGAGTGTTAGCTCCTAGGGTATCTGGTTTCTTGCCATCAAATCTCCAAATCACCTGTTAGGATATAGTTTGCATTATACCATATTGTGAGTTTTAAAGCCTAGAAAACAATTTGAGTGCCTTCTAAGGGGTAATTTTTTTAAATCAACAGAGGGAGACTACATATTAACAACTGCAAAAAAAAAAAACTGATACAAACAGAACACAAACAATTTCCACAGTCATTTTACATTTTAATGGTTTGAATATACTCATAATATCTTGTATATAGCAATTTAGATAAAAATTGAATTATTTTGTATAAAGCAATTTATATAAAAAAGTTGAATTATTTGAAAATTGTCTCCCTACATTAATATTTAAGAAGGATTAGAGAATTTATTACATTTGTATTTACATTAGTATATGTTTATGATACCTTCTAATGTTATCATTGACTGATTTTATAATACCATTATAGATTCCAAGTAGATACCTGTGTCTCAATCAACATGCAAAAAAGCACTTTGATCTGTAAATATCTAATTCATATAATCAAATTCTATTGGATATTAATTGATTTTATGCAGAAGGACGTATAACAGGATTTTATTAAGTTTTAATTCCTTATTATAGAATATATTTACTGGGCATTTGTGAAAACAATTCATAATATCATCACTACTTTTAGGACTGGAATCTATGTTAAACACAAAGAGTTGGTTTGCAATTCAAAAGTGATACAATGTTTCAAAAAAGAACATATGAATAATTATTTTTTAAAAGTCTTTCATTTCCCATGACACCATAGAAAATTTTCACAGCTGAACTTAATCTACTGTTATAGCTTAAGCATTTCATTACAATGTCCTCCAATGAGGTAATGGTTTTAGTAATTCCGTGATATTCTCCTTAACTGGAGAAACATTTGCAGGAATTAGAGATCCCGTTACTGGGGGAATGTCAAACGCAACTTCACATTCTGGGACAAAAATTGGCATAGGAGAATATAAAGCTTATGCAACTAAAACCTACTCTATTTCATAGCTACTGATTGCACATGTATAAGATGTGAGAAACATTTTCTCCATTATATGCTGAGGTTAACTGTGCAACCTCCCTAGAAAGGTATCTTTCAGTTTATTGTTCTCCTCCTTTTTGGTTTCATGATTAGAAAGACATTAACCGAGTGGGAAAAATTCAGCGTCCTTGCAGAAAATATTTTGTAATACATAAGTACCACTGTAAGGGCAGAGGTCATCCCCAAACTATTATTAACTTCTTCCTGCTTTAGGTGTAGTCAGGAATCTCTCAGACTAGGATTTCTTATTTTAGGATTAACATGACTGAATGCATATATGAATCCTGAATAGGCCACTCTTGCTTTTCTCTGCTCTAATACCCCCTTAAAATTACAATACAGAAGTGTATTCCAAAATTTGTATGAACTAAAAGGAGGACATAACACAAAAATCCTAAATTAAATAATTTACTTCAAGTCTTTTTTTGATACCTGTTTCATGTTACTCAGATAGCAGAATTTTCAGTAAAGTTAACACTTTCCATAACATTGCTTGCATATTACAGTGACCTCAACAATCCTATAGGAAAAAAGAGTAAGTATCTGAAATAAAATCTTTGCAGAGCTTCATGATTTCTCTAGTGAATGCTGCCATCGAGACTCTTTGCCAACCTTTTGTGGAATCTGTCCAAGGGCTGAAGCGATGGCATTGGCTGTTGCTTCTGACATGTCACTGACCATGGACCCCAGGGAAAACACCACGATGCCATGGTCTCCAGAGCTCTGCACGAAGTTTTCCATTTCCTGGGAAGAATAAATTGACTCCATTATAAAAAAATCAAAAGCACAGCAAACACTATTGAAAAAAAGTGTATTTAAATAGATGAAATTGATACAGGCAAGAAGGAATGGCAATTAGCATCTGGTAAAATTTTTGTAAGAAAAAGTTCACCATCCTTAAAAATTCAGGGGAAGATACAAGGAGTAATGTTAACAATATGGTTGTGGAATCAATGTTTCTAAGAGTCATTTCTTGAACTACAGATGTATATGTAATTGTTCTTTTACAACATTTTAAAAATATTTTTTCATTTATGTTTCTGTTTATTTGTTTGTTTATTGATTTTTGGTAATCACGATCAAACTCCTGACCCAGTGTTTGACAGGCAGGCAGTTGTGCAATGAGCCAAACCATCACCCCTATGTTTCTATTTAATCCCTTAAAAGCAAAGTTAATTTAAAATATTTACACCAAGATTTCATTTCACATTCTTATTATAGCTGATTTATAGTTACTGAAGAATACTTTGATGTTACAACAATAAGAGCAGTGATATACACATAGAAATGTTATTTAATCTAAAGGTTTCTTTAGGTTTGTGTTTCTGGATTATTTTTCTTTACATACTTTCAAAGGAGTATCTCATTAGGTCAAAGGATATAAATGTTAAGACGATGCGAGATTGTAAATTTCAATTTTGTACATGTAACCGCAGCTAGTTTTAGTACTATTCATAGTGATGTTTTTCCATGTTCTTTTTTTTTCTCTGCTTTTTATTTGTTCTGCTGCTCCTAACAGTGTTATATTTTCATTCAGAAAATATTCTCTGGTATATATTTATATATATTCTGTTTAGCATATACATATATACATTGATAATGCTTCAAATGTTTGACTTCTGGATTACTTGCATTTTCTAAATGAACTGCATTTAAAAAATATTGGTTTTTTCCATTTTTTTAAAATTTCCATTATCTATTTCTGAAAAACCTTTAGGTTAAAAAAAAGAATTTCTTGAAGTGTCATAATCCTGAAACAATAATAATAGCTTCATTTCTATATATAGCTTAGAATTATATTATCAATTTAAAATATGTTATATTTTTGGGTCCTTTCATAGGAATATTACTTGTGCAACACCATAGTGTATGATCACATCAATGTGACTTTCAGAGAAATCATTGGTGCTATCAATTGCTTAATTTACACTCTGTTAAATTTTCTCTGTGTTTCTCTGTCAGGTCATGCTCATGCCATGATTATATCAGACGAGGAAACTTTACTCAGGTATCCTGCTGCCTTGGCAAATGACATTAAATATATGTTTCAACAAAGTGCTTCAGTCCTTGAGAGCTCTGAGCTATAAAATTGTATTATTGGAAGGAAAAATGTCTTTGAATCTGTGTTCAAGCCAAGGTGAACGGCATGCCGTTTCACAGCAAATATTGCTGTGGGTACACAAACACACCTTGGTTCAATGGAATGTTCTTTTTTGTTTTTGTATTTTTGCAATGTAAAATGTTAACAAAGAGCTTCACAGGTTTATATAATACATCCTCATTTTACCTTGTTCATATAATTGTCTGAACCTAGCCATTTACTTTTATACAAGTACATACAATTGCTTTTTATTGTGTGTTTATTTGAGATTATTATCTTAAACTGTTGGAATGTCAGATTCCATTTAGTGAAATTAAATGTAAAATAGTTCTTAGGGGCTGAGGACATAGATCAGCAGCACAGCCTGTCCACCAATTGCAAATTAATGAGTTTGATCCCCGGTATGAAAATAAATAAATTCAGAACTTCTTAATCAATTTAGTGTCAAAATACAAGATACCAATAGCATCCATTTTTTGCCCATCCTCCATTAATGTGTACCATTGAATTATTGCCACTGAGATTTTCTTGCAAATGATTTAAATTTTCTTCCCAAAGAACTAAATATGGGCCATGTTGGAACTTAGGGTCCTGGGACACAAAGAAACCTACTTGCCTCCCTGGTAAGCAGCTGTGGCTCAGGCAAGCAGTGGCCTCCGCAGGGAAAAATCTGCCAACATCTCCTGAGATCCATGCCATGCTGAAACTTAGGGTGCTAGGAAACCTAGCAACCCACTTGCCTCTCTGATAAGCAGCCATGAGCCTACTTGTGCACGGGCTGAGAATCAAACATCCTTCGCCACACCCCATACCCCTTTAGCAAATGGGAGCCAGAGGTCTGTGTGCCTCTTGGGAGGTTGACTATATGCGATATACCAAATAGCAGGGAATTCCTTCCACCATCTCATTCAAGACAAATATTCTCACCGTTTTGCTTTGTGCTAATTAATTATATTGCTCTATTCAATATTCTGTTGTTATAATTTCTATAATGCTCTGTATTTTATTTGATTTTTCTATACCTGATTGAAAGAGCAATTATTTTTAAGACAATGAGATATACCATTACTGTTATCCTGGTAAACTGTTGTGACATTTTGTACCAATTTCACTGCACTGTCTTGATTGACTTTGTTCTATCTTGTCTGTTGTACTACCTTCAATATATAAAAAAATTAAAAGAAAAATTAAATATCAAGTCACAGTTTTACTATAGTAGCAGCTCTTTCTTTTGGATGATTACCTATGTCTGTATTTCACTCATGAATTTCCTGAACTCTTACACCAACCCTCTGAGTGCTTCCTATTTCTAGTGTTCTGAATCTCTGCAATCTAATCCATTTACTACATCTTCATAGATTTTTTAAAAAGAAAATCTGATTATCTCTCCCTAGCTCAATGTTTTCCTATGTCACCAATGCTTTCATTAGATAATTTTTACTCTCTTATTTGGTTGTACATTAATTACCTAGCAAATTTATTATCCTGATGCAATAAGCTTGCTGTTCTTGAGATACCATCCTTTCTACTTTATTAGACATTCTATTTTATATCTTTTTGGACTTCTCATAAATTGGCTTATTTCTGCACCTTATTAACTTTGGATTATTACCAATTATCATGGCAAAGATTATAAGCACAACTGAAAGTTTTCTTAGTATTAGTCTTTTCATAAATTATTCTTCATGTACTTCTTATTAATTTTATATGCTAGTTTTTAATATAGTATACAAGATTGTGGGAGGGGACTAGTGTCTGTGTTGTGTCTAGGCTTATTATATTGTAATGATGGTGAACAGTATTCAAAGGATACATTTTGAATAAACAATGCTGACAAAATGAAAAATGAAGACCATAATTTAATAGAGTTTTTTCTGAATACTTCTTAGGCTTTCCATATTTTTTGTAATGGTAATGAAGATCAGATAGCTGTGATGAAATCAAAATTCAATTTTCTGAACAAAGTCTTTCTATGTAATCCTAAATGTGCAATGTAGCCCAGACATGCTTGTACAGGTGATTCTCCTGTCTCAGGTTATAGAATTCTAGGGTTACAGGTATTTCATACCATGCTTGCCTGCTGTTTAGGTTCCTATTCAGCAAGTAAGTTTTGCAAATTCTCAAATCTTTCTCATTGTGAGCTGAGACTCGCAAGAATAATGCAGAGCATTCTCACTGAAAATTAAAATAAAAACTAAGACAGGGTTATTCTTACCTTAGGTAGTGGTTTGGCAGGTTTGCAGTGGAGTCCTCCTACAAACTCAAAATTTGGTAAGGTAGGGCGAGGAAATTCCAAGTCCCAGTAGCTTCGAATAAGCCACATATCTGCTTTCTGCATTTGTTCATAAAATGTAGTTGGTTTTCCTGGTTTGTAAAGAAGAAAAAAGTAGAAAACATAAAACAAAGTACAGTTTTACATGAATAACAAATTTTTTTAGGTATGGCTCAGTTGTGTCTGTGAGAAACCCAGAATGAAAAGAAAATATTTCTGTAATATTTCCTCAGTGCATTCTGTATCAGAAACTTTAGTACAATACTGTATAAGAAACCATGCATTCTTCCTTCTCTAAAGACGCCAACATAGTAGGCACAAATATCAACCAATATTCTAGCTAGAATTTCAAGTATACCTACCCCAACCATGAAAAAATTTTAAGGAAATTATGTATTTTTTGATTTGTAAAATGATACAACAGAAACCCTGAATGCTTTAATGTTATGGCTGTGATAATTGTTCATTTCTTTGCTTTTTGTTTACACCAGATATGTAATAGTTTTTATTTGTAATTTACACACTTTTCATACATCTCTAGGAAAGCTTGCAGAAATTAGGGAGACACATATTATTAATTATACATGATACATCATTCTTTTTTCTGTAAAACAACATGCTTAAATACAGTACTTGTATATGAATGTTTCTACAAATTTATAACTTCTGAAATGGATGGTTGATAAGGAACTATTATAGTTTGTGGAATCACTAAAATGTCCAATTTATACTTTTCAAACCTTGAATAGAAAATATTTCCCAGAGGGGACAGAATGTTTTAGAAGGTATAGAAAATGACAATTTTAGACAAAGAAACTGATTTACTCATGAGAAAAGTTCCTCTGTGTTACTAGGTATTTTTGCTACAAACGTATAACTTCAGTCTGCTTTTGTTCATTCAAAAACACATTACAGAGATGCCAAATTGCTTTTACTTTTCCTTCCAAAGACATTAAAGTTGGTATCAACTGAGAGCATGAAAGCATGAAATCTTGCCTTTGGCAGTGTGTGAGCTCTGAGAATGTTCTATCAGTAATGAGCCACTGGCTGGACTATGATCCCATAATGTGAATGTTTTCAAAATTTGTAAGTGATAGAGAGATAATTTTAATTTTCAGTTCATCATTTTCCTACAGAAAGTGAATTCCACTTATTGTACATTTATTCAAGCTGACTTCCAAAGCATAGGATATTAAGCAACTCCCTCTTCATATTAAAAACATGACTTACCCAACGTTTCAGTGTAAAGCTTGTTCCAGTTTTTCTGATTAAACATTTCAATCCAAAAGTCAAAATAAAGCATGCATATCATGTTCTTGACCCTTTCCATAAAAGTCATTTCACCACTTAAGCGTGACATCAGGACAGGTATGTAAGAAGGAGGAAATGGAAGCCCTCCAGCACTTTTTTCCAGTTGGAAGCCAGGGGAGAAGCGAAGACTGTACACAAAAGGTAACTTCAGTAGCTCAGCCACCAGCTCACCACACGGAGCAACAGGATCTGCAAGGAGGACATCAAAGTTTGATTCCTGTAGTTTTGTCACAAGATTTTTATTTGAAACTACATCTTTACAAACAATCTCCCAATTAGCAGAATATTCCTTTAACATCTCCTCCATCACAGGAAAATATGACAAACAGGTAGTTATTGAGCCAATATCCATCCAGTTAGAAATCATTCGAGTATAAAATTCTTCCAGTTGATCTCTCCTGAGAGATGTAGGAAATGTTTCAAATTTAACTCCAGATGATGCATTGACACCAACAAAAATGAAGCTTGAAGGTATCAGAACTGTAACCTCATGTCTCCTCTGGATCAATTCCTCTACTATGATCTTCATATTCATCCAGTGGCTGTATTCCATGGGCCATACCAAAACATTACCACAACTCCCAATGTTAAAAGAACACAAAAATTGTGGTATCAACAGAGCTGAGATCCATTTCATGGACATCTTGTTAAAATGATATATTTATTTACAAATTGTGCTGCCTTTTGTTATCACAAATGTCTACATTCAAGCAGGGGTTAAAGGATAACTCGTACTGGTGAAAGTTCATATATTGAACGGACATTCAGAGTACAGGGACTATGACACAATAATATTGGATGGTGTCACGAATTTTTTGGTGGTCTTTTCTTTTATCATAACCCAGAATTATGTTAAAGCAAACAGCTCAATAATTTAGGAGTCATATACTCTTAATTTTTGGTTATAACCATATCCATCCACTCCAGATTCCCAAAAATAATTACAAGAGAATTTAGTGGACATTTAGATACGAACCAAAATATTATCTATGCACTAATAATCATAATATTAATAAGAAAAATAGACTTCTTTTGTGTTTTTAATACACATGAATCCCTCAAAATATGATTTCAAATTAGCATTTATTGGTTCAATTAAACATTCTCATTTCAAATCTTTTGTTAATTATCTAATACATAGCTTCACCACTATATACAATTTTGCTCTTAATGGGAACAAGTTTGTTATTCAATTATTATTGCATTCTTCAACACATGCTCCAGACAGAAGATATTCCATAGATTCATTCCCAACTGCTTGTGTAAATTTTCAATCATTTAAACTAATAGAAATGTTGAAATATAAACAATCTTGTTATATTTTAGTTAATATATACAATTGTCAATGCAATAACTACGTGTACAGTAGAATATTTGCACTTGAGAGCAACATTTGTTTCTTTTTACCCCCAAGATTTTAATCCTTTTCCCCTTATGCTTTGTTTTTTTTTTCTTTTAAAGATAATAAAACAAATCAGAAGAAAGCAAATCAGAGTAGAAAAATACAAGCAGCACAGATCTTCACAACAAAACCATAAAAAAATCAAGTAGCTACTATAATGTGCCTTGTTTGTTTTAGTATAACTTAACATAAATTCTCAAATACAATCAAACAAAGGCAAATAGTAACAAACCAATCAAAATAAAAGAATGAAGGCATCGTGGAACCTCAAAAAATACAGTAGGAAATAAACAATTACTTCCGTAGTGTCTCTTGTTCACTTCAAAATAGGCTGTCCATACCCTCATAAATAATTAAATCAAATCATAGAATCCAGAGTAAAGCCAAGCACAAAAAAAAAAGAAAGAAAGAAAGAAAACATTAAACGATTACAAAATCAGATATCATTAACTATAATATCCAGTTTTTTTCAAAATAGCTTTGCATACCATCACACATAATAAAATCTAACACAAAGAACAGAATTATACCCATTAAAATATAGCATGAAAGCACTATAGAATTTCAAAACAAGCTTACAAGAAACTGACCATGATCAACAACATACATCCCATTATGTTGAAAGTAGCTGCCTATATCAAGAGACAAACTCTAGCAAAGCAAGGTAGAAGATTGTCAAACCAAACAAAACTTTGAAAAAGTATAAGAGTTTAAATCAAGACAATAAGAAATTAGCACAGGTTAAGACTTTCTCTTCTGAGGTGTTTCCTACTGTATCACTTTCCCACTATTTTGTTTTCAGATTCCACTAACTGTTTTTTATGCTAATGTTCACCCCTATTAGTTCAAACTATTTCACTCATGAACATGACATCCAGTTGCATCCATTTACCTACAAGAGTAGCTTTCCACGATATGAAAACATCATAACTTTCTTACCACTTTGAAGTTGACTGGCAAGGTAATCTTGCTTTTCTATGATCTCCTGTTGCATGAAACAATTGTTTCCTCTCCTCTGATTTTCAGTCTATGAATTTCCTTTTAAGTTAAATGTATTTCTTGTATATAACATATTGATGAACCTTGTTTCTTATTCCACCCTCCCTGTTTTTCCTTGTATTGTTGAATTCAGGTCATCTACAATCCTGATTAGAGCAGTATACACTGTTCATCTCTTTACATGTGATTTGTTTCTTTTTTGTCAAAGCATTTAATATCCAGTTAATGTGCTCAATTTCTTGGATCTTGTTTGTTATATGTCTCAGTATAGATTTACTTTGGTTAAGGCTAGTTTGAGTTACATATGCCTGACTTTCATGTATGCTGTATCCTTTTCCCAAGTCGGGGAACGTAATTGAGCTACGTATGTGTCTTCCATATAATGAAAAACCAGAACTAATATTCGTTAATGTTCAAAGCAAATTAGTACCATTCATGAAAGATTTTTTCTGTCATCTTAGAAAATGTGACATATATACATATTGGTATGTATATGTGTATATACACACATGTGCATATGAACATGGAAATTAATAGCATTTGGTAGGAGTTCAGTGTTTGCCTACCAAAATGTAGGGATTGCCAGTGTTCTCTAAAGAGATGAGGTCTTTAAGAGAATTTTAATCCAAAGAGGCTCCCCTCAAGAATTACATCTAGTGCTCTTATAGAGAAGGCAACATGGCAAAAACACTATTCACCTTCTCATGTGAGGACAGACTGCTTCTTTTCCTTAGAGGACTTCTGTTCAATGATCTGTGTTAGAAGCAATGGCCAAACTCTCACTGGATAATGTATATTGTTGTACACTACCTTTGAACTCCCTAACCTTTGGAGCCCTGAGTAATGTATTATTTGTCTCAAGTATATGTAAGTACATTTAGTGCAACAAGAATGAGTTAAGCAAATGTACATGCAGATATCATTCATTTCTATTTTGCAGCAATGGTCAAAACATTTTTTACACACATTTGGTGCAGTATTTATTCTCTCCTAACTCTAGAGGGAAAAAGTACAGAAAGAGCTTTCATTTCCTTCTTCCTTTACCATTGGAGTTACATAAAATTAAGGGATCAAATATTTGTGTACTAGGAAACAATGAGATTTTTAATTCATTATACTTTTTGTTTGTATACATCCAAAGAGAAATCAAATCAGTGTAGAGTGAATTTCTTTTTAAATTTTACTTTCTTTTTTTTACACCTTACCTTTCCATTGCCTTTGAAATTGAGCCAGCATTAATATAAAATTATGGAAATTCATTTTTTCAAGGAAATTGTTAAAAAGTACACACTAAACCACATCAGTGTCACAATTATTTTTAGAATATATTATAGTATAATTTGAAACCATACACCATCATATTTGAAAAAGTATCTAAGATTATTCTCAACCTGAATATTTAACACCTTAGAATATTTTAGGGAAGAAACCACATACATACTCTTATTTACACACTGCTATTTCATCTATGTTAAAAAAAAAAAGCTGTGAACCTCGCTAAATGTCTTTGTTGACATACAGCATAATTTGCACAATTTTAAGTACAGGTCAGGCAAGACACTGTTTAACCTCATGAGAAAGAGTTTTTCTTCATGTGCCTATTTCCTCATTAAGAAATTACTATATTTGGTCACATTGTTCACTAAATTCTCTTCAGGTATTATTATAATATTGAAAAGCGTACTAAACAGCTGAATAATGAATACTAAGTGAAGAATTTTTTGAAATGTTCTCTCCGTTTGTTGGATAGAATCAGCTTATCTCAAAAGTTAATTGTTTTCACTTACACCTTTTGTAAGAAAACAAATGTAATTCATTCTGCAATATGCATTTTAATGCTAATGGAAAATTATGACCATGTGTGTGTTTTTACCTTTACTCTTTTTTTAAGGTAATTCCACTTTGTCTATGTAATATATGTGCGGTTTTCAGTACATTAACTTATGGATAAATGTCAGAGTTTGTGTTATAAAGGGTTAAGTGGTTGGACACAGGTACCTTTGGCTGTGTTGGAAGAGAGCCTGTGCAAGATAGTAAACTAGCAGAGACAGCAAAGGACAGGGCTGCTCCTCGTTCTTTTCCAGAGCCACAACCTGCTGTCCTTGGAGATCAAAGAGTTCTCTTTGTTGACAAAAAGTACTGCTTTGAAGAGTGTTTAAATTGACTTGCAATGTCCTGCTCTGTTCACACATTTGCCTTAGCATGAATTTCTGCTGTTTGAAAATCAAATAAATATAGGTTGCCTGTAGAAGTGTTTTATCTAACCTCTAAAGTATCATGAAATTTGTTAGAAGGTCTCGACCTTACTGAACAGCTAAAAATCATGCAATTACTCTTTCATCTTGGTCATTCGCTTTTGTACTGATTCCGGGGATTAGTGTTGTGCCAAGATCCTAATGTATGTATATGTATAAAATGCTTACGTTTTAGTGTGGAAATATATGTGATTATTTTACTGAAGCACTGATGGTTTGTAACTCTTTGGTCACATAATTCCAACAATTTTACTAATTTGTACCTTCTACATTGACATGATAATGTTATTATTTTTGTACTATTTATCTTTTGAAACAAAGTGGTGGAAATTCCAGAATGAAAAAATGCAAACAAAGAATAAGATATTTCAAAATTACTATACTATGTAATTTCTTACATGCATTTATTTATTTTTTAAATTCTATTTAAGGAAAAAAACAAAAAAGGGGTAGAAGTTATACAGAAATTCAAAAACAATAAATAGTAGGAAATCACTAGTTAACACATTACATACTATCAACTTAGAAATAGTTGTTCAAGTTACAAAATTATAGCATATAAAGTGGACATTCAAACAGTGAGAATGCAAACAGTTCTGTTCAATGACCCAACAAAAACTGAAAGAATATCTTATATTCTAAATATACATGTCATTATATCCTTAAGAGCACTTTATTTTCCTCTCTTTTTTACAATGACAACTTCACATTTTGGGTTTTCTTACTCCCAAAGTTCTTATTCCTTTTTTTATTTTTTTTGATGAGAATAAAACCAAACGTGACATAACAAAACAGAGTCATTCAAATCAAAAGGACGGACATAGTTCATGATGTAAAGCAGAATACACAGTGATCAACAGTTGTTACCATAATGCCTCTTACTATCTTAAAAAGAATTGCCTATATCATCAAATATAATAAAACTGACCAAAACAGTACAGAACAAAACCAATAAAACCAAAACATTGGAGACATTACAGGACTTCAAGAGAAGATAATAGTCAAACTGGAATGGGCATGATAGTGAATCTTATTGTCTT